ATTTTTTTTTTTTTTTTTTTTTTTTTTTTTTTTTTTTTTTCGTAAGCTTCATTCTGTGCGCACCCTGTATGTCGTGTGTGAGGTAGCATTTGTACTAGTGTGTGACAAAGTATTGTGATCCGTTATTGCGGCGGCCGCGGGGCCGTTATTCGAATGCGATCGGCGATCGAGGCTAGCGGAGGTCCCGGCCCGGCCTCTGTGGCAGTGTTCTCGCATACGTCGCCACGATGAGAGGTCAGTCTTATTGTGTTGATAAGATAAGGAACGGGGAACGCGAGATAGGCGCGGCGCGCGACGTCCCGTTGTCCGCGCCTCGCGGGAGGTGTACGAACACACGGATTCTCCGGCGGAGTCGCCGTCGACGCATTAACGTTTTAGCTCGATCGCGACGTTACGGACGGACCCATGTCCGACGTTGAGGTATACAAGGATACGGCGAAATCGTTCATCGTGATCGCGTTGGACTCCGTGAGCGGAGGCCGATCGCGCGGAACGGACCTCGACGACGAGCTCGTCACCGACGCATTCGGCCACGCGGCGCACTTGGTTTTTGCTCTCTCTTTCCCTCTCTCTCTCTCTCTCTCTCTCTCTCTCTCTCTCTCTCTCTTTCTCTATGTGTGTTTACCTCTATATAATTCTTCTTCTTTTTCTCTCTACAGCGTGTATAGTAAGTTTACAAAATCCACACATCCTGTCTGTTCTGTTTGTTAACCCTTAAACATTACGTTTACTTTGTACTATAAGTTGCAGCCGGGAAACGAGCCGCTCGTTCCCCGGACGTTCGAGGTCCCGCTTTGCGACATCGCCACGCCATGTGTCTGCTTCCTCTTCATCGTCCTCCTTCGTCCTCCTGTTTGTCGCCCCCCTCTGCCGTATATCTTCTTTTTAATTTTTTTTTTTTTCTTTTTTTCTTTCTTTCTTTCATCGCTCCGTCGATTTTTAAATATGCTTATGCGTGCGTGATACATGTATTATGTAATCATTATCAACTACGGTATAGTACTATTATATACTATACGAGCAAACGGTACAGTAGTTGCCGGTGCACTCTCTGCGCGCGGTGTAGGTGCAATGATGACATCAAATTTTGCTCCCTCACTCTCCTCCCGCGGGCAGCCGCGATCTCCTTTTTCTCTGTCTGTCCTGGAGCTCGCTGCCCGCGCGATGCGAATGATAATGAAGGTTTCCACCGTTCACACCGTGACAATCCGTGCGTCCCGTCCGGTGCAGCTTCCGAACGTGCAGCTTCGAATACTCTGCGGTCGAATCATTGTAATACAATGTGATCGATTTAACGACAATTTTCCCAATCCGAACTTTCAATAACGACCCGAAAGAACCAGATCGAAAAATCGAGACGAGACTTTTTGCCTCGTGGAATCTTGGCGTCGCCCTCCTTAATTTCGAAGATCAATTTAGAAACGAGTACCACGTACTGGAAATTTCAAATTACTCGCGAATATCTCTTTTATACACTGACTATCCGGCTCCCTCGCGCGATCGCGGTCGCGTTCCTCGCCTCTCGAAAGCGTGCGCGCGCACGAGCTAGCCACGGTGTGAACGTCTCTCGTCTCTCGTGTCAAGCCTTGTGTCACACACGACATCTATAAAGGATTCTCAATCCGTAAAACACATATTATAGAAACAACATGCAACATTTTATCCTACCGCCGTGATACAATAATGGTACATACATACGCGTACGTATGCGCGCGTGGCACGCGTACGCGCGTCGCGCGAGTGTCGTGTACGTGTGTACGTGTCTGTCCTCTGTGTAAGTGTGTGTATTCCTGCGGGTACATATATATATACATATAGACCAGATATAATTCTTACACCGGATGTACGACGCACGCGGTGTAAGAATATAAGGTGTTTCGTTGCGTATAACGGCCAGCGGACTAAATCGGAGCAACCAATCGAACGCTTGCCCTAAATTTAGGGTAGCGCTTCGACCGGTCAAAGAGTAGCCGCCATGTTCACCGGCGAATGTTCACCGCGCATCCTTGGGAATGGAACGCCTTATATTTTTACACCGTGGTACGGACGGATCGCGGAAGAAACTTGGAAACTGAAAGCGCGCGCGTTTTTTCGTTTCGCACACTTTCGACTTCCGAAATCGCGTGTCCGTCTTTTGCGCGTACCTCGACGAAAATCGACTGCAGCAGCGAATTTGGAATATACTAATATTATTTCCTCGAGCTGGAGATGCTCGGTATCGACGAGCTCGGGGGAGAATCGAGAGGAAAAAAGTAAACAATGAAAATATCGTAATTTCGTTTCGACAGCGCGTCGAAGAATCATTCGAGATTACTTTTGAGCAAAGCGATACGACGAAATCAATGACGATTCATAATCGATTTGAGTGAAATTGCCGTTTTTCGGCCGTTCCAAATACATTTACGCGCCTAATCGATGTCGAGATAATATTACGACTATAATTAATTCTAAATTTTCACTTTAATTCTACGTCGTTAATTTTTTTAGGTACGTATGTTCTTTTACTTTTCTCTTATAATTTCCTCGACCGACATTGCCTCCTCGCTCTTCCGATCTGCTGTATGTG